TCTCCTTCATAAAACAAAATGCGTTTATAATGGTGCTGCTGGAAAACCAAACTAGATTTCTTGGCATACAGAGTGAGTTCTATTATATTATTTAATAGAAACCATAATTTGTCATTTTCATTGTTAAACATTCCATTAAATTTAACCATACTTTACAAGGTATAAATCCAAACTTGAAACAAAAGAAAATCTGAGAAACAAAAACAAGAGTCTTGTTTTCTATTATGCTTTCATGGCAATGATAATTCTAAATGTGATACCTTTTTTCAGTCTGTTACCACAAACATAAACATCAGTAAGATCATGAATCAAGGGAAAAATTCAAAATTATTTTAATAGACTTAGTAAGAAAAGTACCAAAACAACTTCACCCTGAGATGACATAAAACGACTATTCCTTTAACGACAAATAACTCAATACTCTTTAAGTGTCCAATTGTCCAGCTTCTGATCTTTTGACCACCTAATCTTTGCTCCAGGTCCCACCCCAGCATCTTCCCCAAGAAAGTGCAGGAAGTAGGCGCAAATCACAATTTGGCCTAACAAGAGATTTATGAAAATAACAAAACTGAAACTACTGTGTTTAAGCAACAATTTGGGGATTATGGGTTTCAGCTACTCCTGTTTCTGAACATTACGAATAACTAACTGTTTAGACTTTTAACAGAACCAATGTTCCATGGGTTCCATGGGTAAGGTGAAACTTATAATAAATATATAAAACACTAAAAAAATACAAACTTAAAATGCAAATCATGCTGTATGTAAAATACTTTAAGCAAATCACATTCAATACCAAAAAAAAAAAATCAAACATGCACCAAAAGAGTTATAAAGTTACACAGCAATATTTTTTTAAAGAAACAAATTTATATGGCTAAGTAATATCCCTATAAAAACTGACGTTTGGAATTGAAAAATAAAAACACTCTTTAGAAACAGCAAGGAACTGAACGTTTTAACTTAGTAAATTTCAATTAACAGGTCTTGTCTTTTAAAATAAAGACTATGATTGTAAAGGGAATTTTTAATTATTTTTTTAAATATAGGCCTAGCTAAGACCAAAAGAAAACCCATTTGAGTGTGATTTTGTAATGTTATTTAGCATTTAAAAGCTTACTGCATCATGCACATTATGTAGCAGAGGAATTTCTACCTCGTTAACCTTCTAGGAGACACAACGTGCAACCTGCAGCTTCACCGCAACCTAGTCTGGTATCCAGTTTACTTAAGGGCAACTAACCTCTCCCTGAGCTGAGGCAGGCCAGTGGCATAAAGTGGAGGACGTGAGCTGGCCAGTAGTAACGATGCAAGGCAACAGTGCCCAATTAATCATTACCTTTATTAACCTCATTAATGTACTAACCTGTTAACTGTTCAACTCTGGCTTAAGAAACAGCAAATACTAGAGATACAAGGATTTCTCTTATATCTATCATTTCACGGAGTTTTTTTAGGATGATCAAACACACTATTGATTTGTGGTTGCTTTTACATGTCTAACTTGTGCACTTGAAACAATTATATACACTACTTAACACACAGGCTATAGTCCTTCCCTTCCTTCATGGCAAAGGGGGACAGACAAACAGACAAAGAGAAGAATTACTATATATAATGATTTTTTAAAAAGACTAAGATATTAAAACAACAGTACAACTTGTATAAAATAGTCAGATCTTGTTAGTTTTACTTATTAGGCATAGAGGTAGTTCTCTGAAACTTTAAGTAGAGAAAATCATATAATTATACATATTCTACATGGATACATTACATTATAGATGGAAAGCTCAAAGTAAGCTAGAAAAAAATAATAATTCATCTTGGAACATCATAAGTGGTAGATATATCTGTGGGTATGGTTACACAGATCCCCAGAAGACAATCATTTTATTTAAAATTGCTTAATACTAGGAAGGAGCAAAGATTTTTCAGTCAATGCATTACCTTTTTACCTTTCAATCATTCCCCAAATAAGAATTCTTTCACAGAATGTTAGAGCTGAGGAATCCTTAGAAACCACCGGCCAGTGGTTCTGAACAGGGGATGGTATCTCACCCTAGAAGATGCTGGGAAATGCAGGGTTGTTTTCGGATGTGATAATGACTGGGAAATGCTACTGGCATTAGGGATTCTAAACATCCTACAATACACAAGAGAGTCCTTCATAATGAAGAATTATCCAGCCCAAATGCCAGTAGTATACCCTCCGAGAAATACTGACTTAATTCTCCACTTTAAAGATGTAGCTACTTAGGCCCAGAGATGTTAAGTGATATACTCAAGGACACACAGCTGGGTCTAGAACCCAGATACTAATTCTCTTGTTCTACTTCTCTTTTAGTGAATTATTTCTCAATACGAAAACATAGAAAAACCAAGAAACAATTATATATAAATCAATCAATCACATATAAATACACAAAACATTGTCAAAACATTGGTCATGCATTAACATTTGAAATTGAAGTAAAACTATAAGTAACTAAAATACTAATATCCTTTTCAAATTGCTTTTTTTCTCTCCTAAGAAATAATGCACTTTCAGACAAATCATTTTCAAAAATCCATCAAAGTTAAAAGAAAGAGGAAGAGATCAATTGACTTATTATGGTTCCCAAATAAAACATTTTCTGAATGGGAAAATTACATGGTTTCTGCTGGTTTCAGAACAACTGGACACCCTGTAGTCTGGCACTAATCTCTGCTGCTACCCCCGAAGAAGTTTATTGTAATGGGAAGAGCACTGAGCTAACAATCCAAAGGACTTGAAGCTAACCCCTGCTCTGATACAGACATAACCAGTCACCAAATCTTGAACATATCATAAACCCTCCAGATCTCAGTTTCATGTTACATAAAATGAGGCATTTAGGTCTCTATGATCCCTTCTAGCTCTAAGATTCTGTTTCTATATTTCTTCTTTATTGCATAATGAGTAGGATTAAAAAAAAAAATAGAAGGGTACCCGTAAGCATTCCTGAAGAAGCACATGACGATGAGTGGGATACAACTGAAGACTGAGTCTCAGGAGATGACTGACAGGTCAGTCCCACTGGTCGTCTACAGAGCCTTTGTTCAGCCGCCCCTTAGGTCCTAGTGACGTCATCTGCCATCATTTATAGAATACGTATCATTCCTTTTTCCCTACATTCTCCTAAAAATGAGGGCTGATTAAATAATCTTCAGAATAATTCAAAATTAAAACTTATTCTTTAAAAGATATTTGCATTAAATGTTTAACTTCTACAACATACACACTGAGATTACAAATTTTTAATTTTAGAACTACATTCGACCTGGTAAAGTAGAGTATACTGGGGGATTTTTGCAGATAATGTACTAATATGTTAATATATACGTATATATGTGTATGTGTATACACACACACTGTATGCCTTGTGGGGACCTGAAATTGGCCACCCCAAGATATGTCTCTTTGGCATCAGGATTATTTGAGGCTGATTGCTTTTGATAAACTGGGACAGGGAAGGAGGCTCTGAGGAATGGAACTTGCCCTTTGTTAGGACACGTTTACATTTATAAGGTAAATCTCTATCTGTAAAAGGTGCCTCCCTCTCTGTACCAGGAAGAAGAAAGGCGATGACCTTCTCTCTAGAAACTCTTAATCAATACCAAAGGCAAGGACTTAAATCTACATTTTATTGTGCTTGTCTGGTAACCTCCTGTAACTGACTTCCCTCCCGCTCCCAACGTTGGCATTTCTTTAAGGATTAAGCATCTTTCCTTAGGCTAGGAACTGATTGCTGCGCTCACCTGTGACCACCCAGCTCCAGACTATCGACTTGCCTCCTGCTATGCCCACCGAGATAGCAGACCACTACCTGCTGTGTCCATCAAGCGCTGTGCCCACAGGGCAATCTTGTGACTATTGTGGGAGGGACATTTCAATCACATGTGAAACACCCTGTTTGGGGGTATATAACCACTCTGTGCACCCCACTTCTTTGGTGCCCTTTCTTCCTTCGGGAAGAAAGGCCCCGGGCCATGGTTCCTCATAAAGATTTGTTTAATTTTCTCTTGCTATTCTGTCTCATGTGAATTTAATTCGTTCTCCGGCCAGACGAACCCCCATTTGGGAAGAGGAAATGTCTTCCTCCCCTACAGCCTCTACATTTCTCTGAAGTTCTTACAGTGTGGCTTTTACTCCTGACACTATAATACAGCCTAAGGATGCTGAGTTGTATTTACTATTCACCCTTACAAAATTGCAACTGGTCCATAAAATATTTGATTCCTTTTCATACATTGTGTTATACTTCTTTGGCAATGTATCTATGTTAAATAGTAATCAAAAATAAAATGGGGACACAGAGATATATATTTCTCCCTTTCTCTTTCTCTCCCTCTCACACACACTCAACATAATTCCTCACTGCCACCACCACCACAGCATGCAACAGAAGTTAGGTATCAAGCTCTATGGAGGGTGAATGTAAAAAAACTTTCACGAATGGCCTTTAAATGAACTTACATAAGGCTTTCAAACTATTCAAGAATATATTTTTAAAATATACTTTCCTGAAGTCCAGCTACTTAAATATAGTTTCTCTTCACAACATTCTGAAGCTTTCCCTGCATGTGGTCCTTTTTTCCCACTCATCCATCCTAAAGAAATTCATAACCTTTGTTGCTTCTTATCTCTCACTTGCTGTGGTTATTTTAACAATGTTTAAATACACTATTTAAATGTAATTAAATATAAGTGATTTTGTTTTTCGTTAAGGTTATAAACTTAAACCTTCAGTTAATTAAACATGCAATTATTATTCCATCATATCTACAAAGTCTAGGATTAGAAAACAAAAGTATTCTGCAGACAGTCCAAAACATGGATGCAAGAAAAGAAAAACAAAAAAAAGGCTATCATTATAACCAAGCATTCTATTTCAAACAAGCAAGAAGTTCTGTCAAATAGATGCCTTGCTACTTGCAATAAACATGTGGCAATCATTCAATACTGCAAGGTTGTACTATACCAAAACTATCAGGGGTCTCTGCTGACGACACCTCCGTTGCTCGTTTCACAAAGGCAATCTCAGGTTTGGGATATCTGCATGCTAAAAATATTTTAAAATCAAAATGTATTCAATCAATAAATTAAATAAAATATGTATAAATAAAAAATGTATATGAAATTTGGAAGTGAAATCTGCTAGAATATAGGCAGTCCTCACTTTGCACAATAGTGTGGGACCATAAAAAAATGACAGTGCAAGTTGAAACCATGCAGAGCAATCTTAATAAACAATGGGGAAAATGACAATTGTTCTGTGACCTTTAAATTTTTTTTCAAAACATTAAAAGCTCTCTTACTGACAGTTAAAAATACAAAAGGAAATTTTAAAAATAGTAAAACTAATGTTTCTTTAGTATACTGTAATTTAAAATATTAGCAACACTGAGAATTAAAGTGTTTTATTTCTTGGTAAAAACAATTATCAAAAGTAGCTTCAATAGCGCTAGCACTCTTCTTCTCATCATGTAACTTAGCGTATGGGAGGCATCTTTTCTATGCCTTGGTGAACTGTCACACTCCTTTCTAAGTTTGAACTCGCTGACATTTTACCCTTTACATTTTCAACCTCATGAAATGTCTCTGAGATTTCCTTTAATGTGAAGGGGTTACCAGTGTCACTTCCTCCAGAACATCCTCATCCTTTCACCACAACCTCCTCACTTTCTTCATTTAGTCCCTAAGTTCACCCTCTCAAAGCTCCTCTGGCAGCAGATCCAGAATCTCTCCAATGGCAGCTGTTCAACAGCAGCGCCAACATGCCGTCAGTCAGCTATTTTTCCTATAACTCTATTTACATTTGGTTAAAATTTCACTTCGGCATTATCACTTTTCATTTCTTTGCTGCACTTTCATCTTTTTTGCTCAATTCCCTTTCGATTATCCATTGATTATCCAACTCTCAAAGGTTTATCACTGGGAGACAAGGAGGCAACAGAGCTATGCATTTTCCTGTGTGAGCGATGTAACTGGCCACAATCATGAGACACACCTGTTTTTACAGAGTGATTTGTGGATCAAGGCGTTAGCAGCAAAGTTAATACTTTAGGCAATCACTCACAGTCAATATACTGTGGTAAATGAAATCTGAACCATGTTCTTGGGGACTGGTGTTATTTAACTAAAACATAGTTACTGAAATTCATGCATATGGTAACTGTGCAAAGCAGGAACTGCCTGTAATAACAAAAAAATCAATTACTGAATGAAATGGGCATAAATCCAGTGGTGGTGGTGAGATATTGGTGACACGTAGGAGGACTGATCAAAAGAATAAATATATTAAGGATAATGGAAGTCAGGTATTTTTCCATTAGAGAATGAAGTTAGAAATACAGAAAGAAAGAAAACTAGAATGTACCCTGTAGTGTTGGATTGGAATTGGAGAAATTGTTATGAACTCTCACTTTATAATAGATATAGACAGAGAGATAACTCTAAATATAAATGATATTTACTATTTATATAAACAAATATATTCATACATTCACTAGCTCTGACCACTGTGGGGGCCTGGGAACAGCAACACCCTAATAGCTATGAGCACAGATCTTGGTTTGTAAATACCATTCTACACTGAAGAAACCAGGGATCCTTGTAAAAAAGGCTGATCACAGAGCTAGAAGAAAAGTGCAAGATGAGACTGGAACGTCCTGTGGTGCCAGAAAGTAAATAAATGTTCAAAAAGTAATGGGGACATGTCAAAAAGGTACAGAAACCAGCCTGAAGGGGTTCCCACTGGTGAAATATGGGACAGTTAGAGGATCAAAAGTGATAGTAATGAATTATAACCCATTAAACAGAATAAGAATCCATGAGGATATACTGATGTAAATTAATAAATAATTGATGAAGAATGAGATATTTCTTAGACCCAAAGTATCTCTCCACAAAATATTTATTAATTACAAAAAGGAAAATAGCAACTATACAGTGGATAAGTTAGGAAAATACCACTTTAGTCAAATGTTCAAAGGAATTGGTTAACCTGGAAATGGTTAACATCACCAGGGACAAACCAAAATCATGGGCCAACTGAAAGGGTGAAAAAGAAGATAACATCACTTCTGTGATATTCCTGCCAAAGATGCATAACTGGAATCTATTCATGAGGAAAGAGACAAAACCAAATTGAAGCACATGCTACAAAATAACTGGCCTGTAATCCTCAAAAGCATAAACGTCATGAAAGCCAAATGAAAGACTGAGGAACTGTTCCAAATAGAAGGAAATTAAAGATATGTGACAACTAAATGCAACATGTGACTTTGGACTGCATCTTCTCGCTGTAAAGGAGCGTTACTAGGACAAGAGGTGAAATCTGAATGGCATCAGAGTATTAGACGGTAGTAATCTATCCATGTCATACTGTGGCTATAAAGGACAGTGTTCTTGTTTGTAGGAAATACGTGCCAAAGCACTCCAGTTGTAGTGGACGTTGTAATGCACAGTTGATCGCTAGCTGCCAGAAGTCCTGCCAAGAGACAGCCCTCAGTGGACAGCAATCCTGGAAGCCTGCTTCAGCTGCAGAACGCTGCCTCACCCCAGGCTCTACACCCTGCCTGGGCAGGCCACATCCAACAGCTCATTTTCACAGAGCTTGAGGCCCAGACCCTTCACAACTCAGGACAACACATCCTATCCCAGGGTCAGCTGAGGCTTTCATTAAGACTGCATCACTTTAACCTCTGCCCAAACCTGCTTCCTTCCCTTCCTTTTCTAAAGTGAGGAGTCCAATAGCACTCCCCAGCAAACTTGCATGATCATCTTGGCCTCAGACACAGCTTCCCAAGGAGCCCAACCTGTGACAGGGATGACAGGGCATCATGTCAACAACTTATTCTCAAATGATTCAGGGGAGGAAAAAAGAAAGCTTAGTGTACTATATTTGAAACTTCAATAAATTTGAGATTGTTTCAAAATTTAAACAGTAATACAAAATTAAGTGGGGAAAGCACAGGAAGAAGAACAGAATGAAGAAAAGCAGAAGAAAAAAAGTATGACGTGGGGCATGGTTCACTGAAGAAATGAGACTAACCAATGGACAGTATATTCAAGGTGATAATAGGAAATAAAAAGAAATGAACAAAAAGGAATACACCTATTACACCGTATTTATTACTTAAAAGTGATCGTTGTATAGCTATAAAATGAGTGTTAACAATTCACATTTTTTCTAACGTCTTTAAGAAGCCCCTCTGAGCAGAAAAAATGCTAAGATGTTTTTTAAACCATAAGATCTTTCTCACACACAAACATAAAATTCTACCAGCTCACAAAATATGCCACATCTTACATTACCACTCTCACATCTGTTTGCTTGTTTCTTTTCACAATTCAAGCATGCCTGAGTTTCTCTACATGACCTCACCTCTTTCCCACCTTAAAAACAAAAACACCTTTTAAAGCCTTGCCACTCAAAATATGGTCCCTGGCCCTGCAGCCTTGAATCACTGAGAACGTGCGGTGATTAGAATTGCAGCAGTTAGAAACGCAAAATGTCAGGCTCCATCTCAAACCTACTGAAACAGAATCCGCATTTCAATAAGATTCCCAGATGATTTTATCTGTACATTAAACTTGGTGAGGCTCCAGTTTCCACTGAGGGATGTAGAAAGCTATAAAGAGCATTGCTCTCACCATTACAGTGAAACAAAGTCAAACTAAATTCAAATTCATGACTTATTTCAAACCTGTAAGAGAACTCAAGTCACAGAGCAAACCACTGGCCCTAAATCAAAAGAGAAGCCGGCACCTGCAATGACAGAGGGGACAGGGGACGTTAGCACTTGCTTACTCGGGATAGATGCAACCGGATACCATAAGCGTACAGCTAGAATAGTAAAGGAACAGGTGAGGCAGAGTGAGGGCCAGGGGGACAGCGCGAAGGCATTAGGATATGCATAAATTAGGGTATGCAGGTTCTTTCAGCAGAAACTCCACCAGACACACACACACAAAAAGAGAGGGAGCCCTAAGAAACTGTCCACTGTGGTGTAGACCTGAAGGAAGGGAAAAGCAATAATGCAGAAGGAACGTGAAACTCTACCTGGATCCCTTTTTCAATCTCTCCTATGAGTCAAAAGCCATAATCTGTGAGAAGGCAATACTATCACCCTTAGGGCAGATGAGGTGACCAACTACAGTTTGCACAGGATTGTCTTAGTTTTAACACTGAAAGTCCCACATCCCAGGAAAAAGTGTTCCCTCTAGCTCTTAGGTATTTTAATTTGAAAAATGGAGTTTCCAATCATCTTCTTGATTTCTATAAGCTTCTCACCAAAGAAAATGAAAAGATCTTACCTGCTGAATGGCCTGCATATTTTCCATTCAGTGCTGCTAAAAACAGGTGTGATTTGTTTACTTGTGGTATTATGTTTTCCTCTGATAAACCAGAATTCTACACACGAATGTCTATTAAAAAATACTACAAATATTTAAAATAAGTTCAGACTTCTGACCTATGAGCAAAGAGATAATCTCAATAACCCTCAAGCTACTGCCGGAGGCCTCCTGCCCTCCATATCCAAAGTTCCCTTTAAAGAGCTGAATCCGGGGGCCAGCCCAGTGGTGCAGCTGTTAAGTTCTCGCGCTTTGCTTCAGCAGCCTGGGGTTCACTGGTTTGGATCCCAGGTGCGGACCTATGCACTGCTTAGGCCATGCTGTGCTGGCATCCCACATATAAAGCAGAGGAAGATGGGCACGGATGTTAGCTCAGGGCCAATCTTCTTCAGCAAAAGGAGGAGGATTGGTGGCAGACATTAGCTCAGGGCTAATCTTCCTCAAAAATAAATAAATAAATAAAGAGTTGAATCTTTCCTTAGTGATACTCCCTTTTCAGCCAACTAAAATCTGGCTTCTCCCCACATAATTATAAAAATTATAATTTTTATATAACTATAACAATTCTAAAACCGCTTCTGACAAAGACATCAGCTCTCTTTCCTGTTATTAAATCCATCAGACCTTCTTCCTCGCACCCCTAGTCTTCCTCTTACACGACCTATCTAAAGAATCAGATCATTCCTTCTTTCTTGAAATGCT